GGGATGAAACTCGACCGTGGTTTTGAGCCTTCGAGATGTCGTAATGATGGCAAATTGGACCCTCCAATTTTACCGTATACAAATATCATCAACATAAATCTGAATAATGAGATTACCTTATGATGATCTTTTAATAAATAGATTAGTGTCTACTTTACCTCTTATAAAACCATGATCAATAAGAAATGAACTAAGTCTATCATACCATGCTCGTGGAGCTTGCTTTAGTCCATATAGTGCTTTGGTTAGCTTATATACATGGTAGGGAAACATTGAATCTACAAACCCAAGAGGTTGCTTCAGGTATACTTCTTCCTCAATGAATCCATTCAAGAAAGCACTTTTGATGTCCATTTGAAACATCCTGAATCCCTTAAACGATGCATATGCCAGAAGGATTCGTATAGACTCAAGTCGAGCTACTGGAGCAAATGTTTTGTCATGGTCGATTCCTTCCTGTTGTGAATATCCTTGAGCAACTAATCTGGCTTTGTTCCTTACAACCTTTCCAACCTCATTCAATTTATTTTTGAAAACCCACTTTGTTCCAATTACAGAAATATTTTCAGGTTTGGTTATCAGTTTACATACTTGATTTTTGCCAAATTGATCTAACTCTTCATGCATTGCTTGTATCCAACTTGAGTCTTTTAAAGCTTCCTCTATCTTCTTTGGTTCAACCTGAGAGATTAATGTCGTGCTTGCTTTCTTTTTGAGAGCTCCGCTGGTATTCATTCCTTTATTTGGATCCCCTACGATAAATTTTTTAGGATATTCAGGTTCACTTCCCCATTCATTTGGATGAACTGCATGAATAGTTAACTCCTTCAGATGATCTGGTACACTGTTGCTGATTTAATTAGTTCATTCTATCGTAGCATCAGATTTATCAGTTGACTTTTGAGATTTGCTTGTCTCCTGAATTTCTTGAGCTTGATCTTCATCACCTACAGTAATTTCTTTCTCGGATGAGGGGTTATTTTCATTGAATATAACATGTAGAGATTCTTCCACACATAATGTGCGTTTATTATAGACTCTAAAAGATCTACTATTTAATGAGTAGCCAAGAAAAATACCTTCATCACTTCTTGGATCGAATTTTCCAAGATTGTCCTTACCATTATTCTGAATAAAAGAATTACTTCCAAAGGGATGAAAGTAACTGATATTAGGACGTTTACTTTTCCATGGTTCATAAGGAGTCTTCTTCAGAATGGGCCTTATGAGACATCGGTTGAGAATGTGACATGTTGTACTTACACCTTCTGCCTAAAAATGATTTGGCAGTGAATGATCTAGTAACATGGTTCTTGCCATATCTTGGAGGGTTCTATTTTTCCTTTCAAGAACTCCATTTTGTTGAGGTGATCGTGGTGCAGAGAAGTTATGAGTATATCCCTAGATTCTTGCAATCAGATATCCTTTTTCTCTTTCAACCTTTTTGCAGAAGATCTCAAAATTTTTCAATACTTCATCTTTATGAGATAAGAAAATCACCCAAGTGAAACGTGAATGATTACAATAACAAAAGCATATCTTTTTCCTCCTATACTAGCAGTTCTAGTAGGCCCAAATAAATCCTTGTGAAGCAATTGCAAAGGTTTAGAAATAGATACAATATCTTTATTTTTAAAAGAGTTTCTAGTTTGTTTTCCTATTTGACAGGCATCACAGATATGTGTTCTAGAAAAAATTAGTATGGGTAGACCAATAATCAACTCATGCTTGGAAAAATTTTCTATCAAATGCATGCTTTCATGACCAAGTTTCCTATGCCATAATCATGGATCATCAGACATGGATGTTAAACAAATATATTTTCAAAACCATCAAGAATATAAACATTTTCATACCTTTTACCTGGGAGGATTATTTTACATGTCTCATCTTCAATAGCACAACCTGTTTTCTTAAAGTTTACCCCATATCCTGAGTTGCATAGCTGACTTATACTGAGGAGATTGGAGTTAAGTCCATCGACGAGATAAACTTCAGTAATATCGCAGTTGTTATTGAAAGGAATTGTTCCAGTACCGATTATCTTTCCTTTTGAGTAATCTCCAAACTTAATGCTTCCTCTATCAATTTTTGTAACTTCTTCGAACAGGTTTTTTCACCTGCCATGTGACTGGAACACGCACTGTCTAAATATCATTTTACTTTATGGCTTCTTATGTGGTGTTCCTGCAAGACATAGTGATTACTTTCTTTTAGGTATCCAAGCTTGCTTGGGTCCTGAAGGGTTAGTACTACTAGGTCCAAAATTTTTTTTGGGATTCCAAATCCATCCTGAAATATTTGTTTTACGAAAGCGACAAATAATATTTATTTCCACTTTTATTAAAGAAGTGACATGTAACTCCTGACCAATTTTTAGGTCTTTCATTAGTGTTAGTACTAGTGGACTCTGTTCTAATTGGTCCTTCTCCAGTTGACTTATAAGCTTCCTGGTTTGACCTGATAGAACTATGACCGGTGGATTGCGTATGCCATTGAGTTGCATTTGCAATTCTTCAAACTCTTCTTGAAGTACTTCTTTTTCAGTTTCACATACTTCATATTTGAGCTTCCAGTCTTTTACTTCTTTATTGAGTCTCTTAAGCTCATTCATCATTTTTTGGGACACTTTCAAAGTTAAATCAAGAATATCCTGCAATTCATTGCATCTTTCACAGTTATAAGATCTTACCTCACTTGTTTTACCTCTTGCCATGAAACTGTTCTCATTGTTTTCTTTGCATTTGTCATCTGAAGTGTCCTCGCCTGTCCAGCATCCTAAAGATTTATTCATCTCGTTTTCCAGAATTGTCATGAAGTAAAGATTTGATATCTCTTCGTGTTCTGAACTGTTTTCATCACTCCAACTTCCAAATGATTTATTCTTGTTAAAGCCTCTGGAAATTTTTCTTTTTAGAACTGGGCACTCAGCTTGAACGTGTCCAAATCTTCCACACTCATAGCATTTTTCATCATTCTTGTCCTGTTCGTTGTATTTCCTGGATCGCCTAGCTGGAATCCTTCCTCTTCTCGTATTCCTGAATCTTCTCATTAAACCATCCATGTTTCTTGAAATCATAGCAATTTCTTCTTCAAGAGCTTCAGGATCATCATCGATATCATTTTTAGCTATTTCAGTTGTGTCCTTGAATGCAACTGTTTACTTTTTTTCTTCTTGATTTGTTTTCTTGAAATGTGTCTGTCACACTTCCTTTTTACCCCCCCCCCCTATAAGGGAGTTTTTCCAATTTAAGTGACATTATTCGAAATGAGATTATTTATTTGATTCAGAGTCGCCACTTGGGATAATTTAATTGGTGTCCCAAGTCACCGGTTTATTTTAAATCCCAAATCGAGGAAATTTTGATTTTCCTTTAGAAGTCTGCGAACCAGAAATTCTAGATAAGGAATTCTGTTAACCTGGGAGAAGGTGTTATGCATTCCCGGGTTCCGTGGTTCTAGCACGGTCGCTTAGCAATTTATACTTGGCTTAATTGTTCAATTACTCATTTTTTAAGACCTATGTGCATTTACCTTTTAACCGCTTTTAATCACTTGATTTATTCGTAATTAAATAACTGAGTTACGCGTACGTATACTCTTTTCTTTTTGGCGTGTCAAAAATCATGTCACGCGAACGTGTCCACAATTAATAACGCTTTGTTTATTTTATTAAGAAAATTTGGTTGAAGTTGCGTGAACGCATACCTCGAGTCTTTTAAGAATTTAATTTGCAATTATGTTACGCGAACGTATACATAATTGCAATACTAATCTAAATCGGGCCTAGAGTAAACTACGATTATTCAATTTTTTTTTTTAAAAAAAGCAATATTTGTGAGGGCCATGGAAGTATGGATACATAATTATTGTGAAAGAAGGTTGTAGTTTGGCTATCATTATCATTAAAGCATAATCTATACCTTGAATTTATTCAGACGTTTCAACTTAATATATTGCTAACATTCAATACTTAGATCATTTTGGGAGAATCGATGGTTAACGGGCACACTTACTGCCACAACGCTGATCCAGTAATTCAAACATCAAGATATTAGCCACCTTGTCATATGAAACAAATGTGTGCGTTTCAACTTTTAAGAGAATGTCCTAATAAATTATCTTCACCCTTATTAACCAATCCAATCAAATGGGATGGTTCACTTGCTTTTGCGTCCATGTGAATCATCAATACTAAAGAAATCTCTAAAAAAATCTGAAGTTTATCATTTTACATTCCACAAAAATGACTCATAAAGGAGACGACAAAATATTTTTAAAACAACACATGAACTCATTCAAATCTAGTTACCGGCAATACAGAGGAGCAAACATAACTTGTTGACATTTAATAGCTATACAAATTGACATTTTTACGTGCGGTCGTTCATGTAGAGAAAACAGAACAGCATATTAGGTAACGAAATAGCCACAAATCCATAAAGAGAAGAAAGAAAGTCCTTTGCTACAGATTTATCTAACAATGGCCAAATCTGCCTCCTTTGTAACAGGCTACGATTTATTTTAAAAGGAACTGACCCAAAGAAGCTTGTTCATCTCAAACCAGGTTGTTTCTTTTTAGTTCAAAATATAGGTATATTCATGAAGTTGAAGGTTTATTTATACATATAAAAGAAGAATCAAAGTAAAGGGATAACAAAAGACTAAGATTTGAACAACTCCAATGACTCACGTTGATTAATATGCAACTTGAACTGAAATTCTGAAAAGTTGACCACAAACAGACCTTGCAAAGATTTTCAGCAGTAAATAAACCAAAATGCAACAGCTTTTGCCATGATACTATCATAAAATCTCCATTAAAATACCTCTAAAACAGCCATGGAATCCCTATAAATCCAACATAAAAAAATACCCTCTCAGACCACGAATCACCTCTAAAACTCCAGCAACATTATCCATCTAAAAAGAAATCAAACAACCTTCCAGAACCTCACCATTTTTAGCTCAAAATTCCAGCAATCAATTCTACTACAGCAAAAGCTTAATAGTGCTCAACTTAAATAAACAAATACAATCAAGTACGTCATCCCAAAAGTAAAGAAAAAGGAAAAGATAAGAAATCCAGCATTTGACATTAGAAATGTGTAAAAGTAGGCAGAGTCATGGCATTAAGAATTCAACTTGTCATTTCAAAAAAAAAAAAAAGATAGTTGCAGAGTAAGTTCTACATAACTAATATCAGTATACTAACCAACAAATGACCAAATAAAGCTTCTTAACAACAGCACCACAACAGAGTGAAATCAACACCTCAAAAGCAGCAATGCAACCCAGGATATGCAGCGACAGACCCAGAAACAGCTTAACTGAAACACTGCCGAAATTTGAGCTCCAAAAACAAAGTCGACCACAACTCGAAATTTTAAAATCGAGTTTTCTTGAGAAAACAGAACCTCAAAAGAACTCGAACCAGTGAGTTTTTCCTTAGAAAATTTTGACCCAGCTACTGAAGATTTTTTCTTTCGATCTTTTCTCTATGATTTTTTCCTTTGATTTTCTTTATATTTTCCTTCAAACTTTGAAAAAGAAGACTTACCACCTATATATAATCCTCGAAAATTCTCGAATCTTCTGCTCAACATATCCGAAATCTTTCGATTTTTGAACAATTTTTGGGACAAATGGAAGGCGTGGATCGATTTACATCTATCCACGGCTCCCACTCGTCCAACAATTATCCTTTTGAATCCGAAATCATGCTATTTGGGAGAGAAAATTTGTACTCCCCACTGACAAAAAACCGTTGGGAATCAAATGACGTGGAGGGGAGACCATTTTGAGTGAACTCGGGTGAATTAATGGTGAGTTGAGGGCTAGTTGAGAGTTGGGGAAGATGAACAGTATAAAGGGGCGCCGCATCTCTGACTTTTTAGGTTTAGGGTTCAAATGGGGGAAATTATAAAGGGAATTTTATATTAAGGGCAAACGGGCGGGTTGTTTTGGTGGGTCAGGTCCGATTTTCTTTGGGTTGGGGCTCTAGAGGGAAATGTTTGGGCTGGTGGTTAATTGGTTTTGAGGGGGGGAAGCCATTGGCCGAATTGGGGTGCTTAAATTGGCCCAAAACCAAATAAAAACCCTTGTCTTTAATTAACCTCTTTTATTCTTTTCTTTCTTCTTTCTTCTTTTTTTTTAATTAAAGATCCTAAAATTAAAAGTCCTAAATTATCTAAAATGTGAAATTAAAGTACTTAGATAATTATATTTATAAACAACACTTAATTCTATATTAAGAGTAAAAATCAATAAACAAAAGATTAAAAGACAAAAAATGTAAAAATAAGCTATTTTTTGTGATTTTCAAAATTATTTATAAGCAAATGATTATGNGCAAAGATAAGTGAGCGGATACGAGCAATTTTTGCCCGTTTGAATACTCCGTGGGAAGCATTTTGGAAAGATTTGAGCGCACCCTGCTTCCGAGGTTGCCTACATATCCTTGGCTAAAAATGAATCAGGTCAGTATAGTTCGAAAATGTCTGGTAGCTGGGACTACCATGAAGCTGTGATTTTACTGCTGCTGCTGCTCACTGAACCCCTTCTTACACCGTGTCAAAAATAAAAGAAGTTAGACTAGACTATGATCTATGCTTTACAAAATCCTATCTTGATCTTCAAACTTGATCTTGTGTTTCTTGTTGCCTTGTTGTCTTGTATTCTCTTGGTAAAATTCCTTTTTTGCCGTCTTGAATTGTAAACTGAGATGCTAACCTTTCTCTAGGCGTATGCCTAACTGCTGAACTTGATATGTATTCCAATGTTATCCAGGCGGGCTCCTGACTTCAAAACGTGACTGTATTCTCATGCTATCCAGGCGGGCTCCTGACTGCTAATCTGAAAGTGTTCCCTGCTTTTCAGGCGGGCTCCTGACTGCTAATTTGAAAGTACTCCCTGCTCTCCAGGCGGGCTCCTGACTTTAACAAAGAATTCGACAGCTAAAATTTAAATTGTACTCCCTTGTTCTCTAGGTGGGCTCCTGATTGTTACGCTTGAAAGTATTCCCTGCTCTCCAGGAGGACTCCTGACTTCAACTTGAAATGTATTCCCTGCTCTCCAGGCGGGCTCCTGACTGCTAATTTGAATGTACTCCCTGCTCTCCAGGCGGGCTCCTGAGTTCAACAAAGAATTCGACAGCTAAAATTTAAATTGTTCTCCCGTGTTCTCCAGGCGGGCTCCTGATTGCTACGCTTGAAAGTATTCCCTTCTCTTCAGACGGGCTCCTAACTGCTAAACTTGAAAGTATTCCCTACTTTCCAGGCGGGCTCCTAACTTCAACATTTTAAAGTATTCCCTACTCTCCAGGCGGGCTCCTGACTTCAAAATAGACAAAATAAAGAAAATTTTCCTGCCCCTGTTTGGTGGCTGGGCACAGATCTGAGTGTAAAACTAAATCATATTACCAAGTATTACTAAGAATTGAAAGCTAGATCCCGTTATTCAGGAGGTCCTAACAACTCTTAACTAAACGACAATTTTTAAAGCCTAAGTTATGTCCTCTACAGGTATGATTTCTGCTAAATCTTGTAATATAAGAGGGTCTTAAACTACTCCCCATTATCCACGAGGGTCCTGAAAATCAAATTATACTTAAGAGTGACAACTTTCATAGCTAAATTATACTACCCTACAGCAGAGTTTACGCTAAACTGTTGTTATCTAATCGAAATCTTAAAGTTATGTCCCATTATTCAGGAGGGTCCTGGAAACTTCTAATTGAATCCTATCTCGAATATGCAAACTTCTAAGCTAACTTATATTCTTTTGGTATACATTTATGCTAGATTATGTTATTTCTGAACTTTAAACTAGGTCCCATTTTCCATAAGGGTCCTGAAAGTTTACGGTCAAACCTGTTTTGATGTTTGCTCTTTCCCCTATGGAGAGTTTCTCCGAAGCAAACGAGTTTTCTGCCTCTGTTTCAATCAAAGAAATTTTTTTCAGTTTAAAGTGGTGGTTAGCTGATGGCATTCTTGCTGAAGATCTTTCCACTGCATTATTTTGTTCTAAATGACTTTCCCGAACTAGCCCTGAACCGCTTTGACTGTCTGACTGACTTTCAAATCCCATGGCCTTTGACGAACCGAGTGTTCTATACCCATGTTGTTGTTTCACACCTTTGACCCTTTTATCTGAACCTTTGCATCTCCCATGACATACCAAATCATTCCACCGGTGAAACTTCTGGTGATTCCCCGTATCCCACCTTACATCATGCTGTCTTTAGTATGCCCTGACCACGTTATGATTTGTAATTTTGGAAGTTGGTAATGAGCTTTGAAATTCTTTCCCACTTATTTGGGACAAGACTGACATTAAAACATCTTAGACAAATAAACCCAAAATAAAATGAAATGCAATGACTTTGCGGGTTAAGGATAAGAAGAATCCGAAACTGGATGACTGCTACAAAGGGAAAAAGAAAAAGAAACTTATCTGAGTGGAACAGCTGGTACCAATGATCATGCCATGCGTTTCGGATTAATCGGCCCAATCTGTCCAACCGATCCACTTTCAGTTGCCGTACTTCGTCACCTCAGCATTTCCATGACCTGATTACTTTACTCAAACCTTGACCTTGTTCATCCTGCGGTGCCTTAAAATAGTTTTCCACCAACAGACCATTCTCACTTGTTGACTTTTCAACTCACTTTCGCCTCAAGGTGCCCGTGAGGGTTTTCACCAATAAGACTCTCTCATTTTAATTTCTCTCAACTTCCGTCGCCTTACGGTGCCTGTGAAGGTTTTCACCAATAAGACTCTCTCATTTTTATTTTTCCTGCTTGAACCAGAGTGTTGCCCTTGACATGAAATTACCTTTACCTGCTCGACTTGACATTTCTCAAAGACTGATCAAAAGGTCTTTTTTTGGACCGTGATGTGGACTTTTGGACAGGGTTAGAAAGAAAAAGCATAAAAGGCTCAAAACGATTCAAATGGGTTAAAATTACAACTTTCGGAATCAGATTTTTCAAAACAACCACGACTTCTTCTCCAGTTTCTTGCTTGGGGCTTTTGGATTTTTGTTTGATGAGACCGAACCGTGAGGCTGCCTACGTATCCTTAAAATAAATCAGGTCGGACGTAGTTCATGTCATAGAAATTACTTTGTTGTTGTGATTTTTCTTTTCTCTTTCTTCTTCTCTTCTTTTTTTTCTCTTTTGCTTTTCTCTTTTTTTCTTTTTATTGTTTTTCTTCTTCTTTTCTCTTTTCCTTTTTCTTTTCCTTCTTTTTTTCTTTTCTTTCTCTCTCCTTTCTTTCTCTTTTTCTTTTCTTCCTTTTCTTATCTTTCACACTTGTGTTTCTGATATTCACTATCGATTTCGAAAGAAGGGTAAGAAAGAAAATAAATAAGGCTCAAAAGGGGTGACGAGGGATCAAGTATTTAGATAGCAGAACAAAACGCCTTCTTCATTTCAATCTTCAAAATATGCCAAATACAAACAAGTACAATCAAACAAAGAAATCATACATAGTATCTTTTGACTGCATCGAAATTGATAGCCATTTCCACAGATTTCCCTTCTACATCTGTCAAATATAACGCGTCATTGGACAACACTCTAATTACGACAAATGGCCCCTGCCAGTTTGGGGCGAACTTTCCTTTTGCTTCAGCCTGATGAAGCAAGATACGTCTCAACACTAACTGACCCACTTCGAACTTTCGTGGACGTACCTTCTTGTTATATGCTCTCGCTATTCTCTGTTGGTACAATTGGCCGTGACATACTGCTGCCAATCTCTTTTCATCAATCAGACTTAATTGCTCCAAGCGGGTTTTGACCCATTCAATGTCATCAATTTCTGCCTTAGTGACAATCCGAAGGGATGGGATTTCAATTTCTGTGGGTATTACAGCCTCCGTGCCATACACCAACAAATAAGGAGTGGCCCCTACTGAAGTGCGAACAGTAGTGCGATAACCCAACAATGCGAAAGGTAACTTCTCATGCCACTGTCTAGAACCTTCCACCATTTTTCGAAGTATTTTCTTTATATTCTTGTTGGCTGCCTCGACTGATCCATTCGCCTTAGGGTAGTATGGGTGGAATTGTGATGTATAATCTTAAACTCCTGACATGTCTCTATCATCAGATAACTGTTGAGATTAGCGCCATTGTCCGTGATGATTACCTTCGGAATCCCAAACCGACAGATGATATTTGAATGCACAAAATCGACCACTGCTTTCTTGATCACAGATTTGAAAGTTTTCGCTTCAACCCACTTGGTAAAATAATCAATGGCTACCAGGATAAACCTATGTCCATTTGATGTTGCTGGCTCGATTGGCCCAATGACATCCATGCCCCAAGAAACAAAGGGCCATGGCGCCGACATGGTATGCAGTTCAGATGGTGGAGAATGAATCAAATCTCCATGCACTTGGCAATGATGACACTTACGCACAAAACTGATGCAATCTCGCTCCATAGTGAGCTAGTAATAACCTGCTCGGAGAATCTTCTTTGCCAGAACGTACCCACTCATATGCGGTCCACAAACTCCGGAGTGTACCTCAGTCTTGATAACTGTGGCCTATCTGGCATCTATGCATCTTAGCAATCTAAGATCTGGAGTTCTTTTGTATAACACCCCTCCACTGAAGAAAAATCTGCTTTCCAATCGTCGAATTGTTCTTTTATGATCGCATGTGGCCTGTACCGGATATACCCCTATCCGGAGGTATTCTTTGATATCGTGGAACCATGGCTCCCCATCAAGTTATTCTTCTACCATATTACAGTAAGCATGCTGATCACGGACCTGAATCTGCAAAGGGTCCACATAAGCCTTATCTGGAATATATAACATTGACGCCAGAGTAGCCAAAGCATCAGGGACTTCATTATGGATCCTTGGGATATGCCTAAATTCTATTGACTGAAACCGTTGACAAAGATCATGCAAACATTGTCTGTATGGTATGAGTTTCAAATCCCGTGTTTCCCATTCTCCCTGAATTTGGTGCACCAGGAGGTCCGAGTCACCCAAGACCAAGACTTCCTGGACACCCATATCCACAGCTAACCTCAAACCCAGAATACATGCCTCGTACTCAGCCATGTTGTTGGTATAGTAAAAACAAAGCTAAGCCGTAACAGGGTAGTGCTGCCCTGTTTCAGAAATAAGTACCGCTCATATCCCCACGCCCTTCATGTTTGCAGCCCCATCAAAGAAAAGTTTCCATCCCGGCTTCTCAACTTGCTCCAACT